TTATATGCTGGAGTTTAAACTCAAGGCTTCATATTTGCTAGGTGAGTGTTCTAGTACTTGATCTATGCCCCTAGCCCTTTTTGCTTTCTCTTTTTTTCAAATATGGTCTTGCATTGTTCCCCGGGCCAGCCTGGACCAAACGCTTTCTATTTATGCCTCCTTGTAGCTGGGATGGTAGATGTGCACAACCACACCCAGCAATTTAGTGATCAGGATGGAGTCTTGCTAATTTTTGCTTGGACCTGCCTTGAACTGTGATCCTCTTGAGTTCCATCTCCTGAGTAGCTAGGATTACAGATGTGAGCCACTACACCTACCCCCTGACATGTGTTTTTGAGATAGGGTCTCAACTGACTTTTGCCAGAGCTGACCTTGAACCAAGATCCTCCTGTCTCTGCCTCTCAACTAACTGGAATTATAGGTGTGAACAACCACACCAGCTCTAGGATTCTTACATTTTAAAAAATGACATATCATTAAGCCTAAACAATTAATTTCCTTTATTATGATTAATTTTAAAAGTTAAAATTTGAATTGAAATTTTTTTATTTAGTGGAATTTTTAAAAATGCTTTATAGTTTTAAAATAGATTTCTAGATCCCAAAATATTTTGTCTTAAATTTAAAAACTTACTACAATTTTAACTTGACCTTTACCACTACTTTGTTCTGTGAAATTAATTTGCTAGACTAAATCGGTGCAATTTATGAGGAGGATCAACTTAGATGTATTTCTGTCTTCAAATAAGTAAAGCATATATTAGACTTGGATTTTAGCTATGTTTCCTATGGTTGGGCAAGATTTTTGTGTTTTTAACTTTGATTTTATTTTCCTTTTCTGACTTAGGTGTGTTCTTTAAATATTTTTAAAAATTTTACTTAGGCCTCCTTTTAAAATTTACACTCTATTCAAGGAAATCTACTAGTCTGCCTTCATTTTAATAATATAAGTATTAAGATGGATTATTAGATAAGCCCTTTTTAACATTCTTTAAAAAGTTACTTTTTCTTTCACATTCTTTAAAGAAGTTGGGCTCCTTGTGGGTTCTTTTTGGATCTGTTCTGTGGACCTTTTCTGTATTGATCAGTGCTAGTTATAAAACTTTCTTATAAAAGTAGGAAAACAAAGGCTTAGAGCTGTGGAGCTGAAAGGTAGTGTTTTACAGTGTGCAGTACCCTAAGGGCAGGGCGGCTACATAGTACTTGCACTTTCCTTGGAGTGATATAAAAAGATTGCTTAGTCAAAGTATTTTTCCTACTGCATTTGGCATCTTTTTCATTTTTGTATGAATAAATTTCTCTTTTTAATTTCATTCTTAGATTTGAAATTCCAGAGCCAGAACCTACTGAAGCAGACAAATTAGCAATAGAGAAAGGCGAGCAGCCAATCAGTGCAGACCTTAAAAGATTTCGCAAGGAATACGTCCAACCAGTACAACTTAGGTTTGATTTAAATACTGTGTTTTTTTTTTATGTGCATTCATTTTAAACTTACAGTTAACACAAAAAGTTCTTAACTCTTAATTGATATTACAACTAACTTTATAGTATTTAAATTCCATATTCTTTTCTCTGTAAAAGCTACTTTTAAATAAATACTCTGAAGAAATTTATTTATTTAAATATACCTTGTTATTTGTATCATCTGTCTCTGACATGTAATATATTGTGCTTACATACCAGGATACCTATTTGTTATAAGCAAAAATTACAAAATGGCACATAAATTTGCCTACTTTCAGCCTTTTTTCCTATTTTTTCCTTCATTTCCTATGTGCTAATTTATACTCCTGGGCTCTTTTACAGTTTGTAATGTTTACGGAAGTTTTAGGTCTTTTCCTACTCCTCTTCACAAAATACATAGACATTGGTTACTTTACCAAGTCATTGTATGATTTCTGGAAATGTATTTAATTTTAGCCGCTGCAAGTCCTTAGGAACTTACTAAAGGTCAGCCATTGCCATAGTGCTTTACCTTTTTTGTCTCATCCTTGTAACAGTATTTTTTTTGGCAGTGCTAGGATATAATACAACTTTATGTCTGCTTTATATATAAGGGAATTGATATTTAGCAAGCTCAGGTAATTTGAGATAAGTCATAGAAAGGGAGTAACAAGATAGGATTCAAATCATATCTGACTTCCTTAAGCAGTGTTTTGTTGTTTTTACCATTGAGCAGTGAAAACTACAAGCTTTTTAGATTTTCTTAGCCTTTACAATTCTAAATTAGAACCAACATATTATCAATCCCTTTCCATTAGACACAGATATTATATTAATATCTTATCTAAATTTTTTCTATCATTTCCTTGATTAGTGTTGACCAATAAATTGTAGCTTCTGGAATTGAGTTTATTAATTACTTATTTTCCGAGATAGTTGCCAGAAATACATGCAATTTTAGAGGAATAATAGTGCTTCTAGCTGTATGTCTTTCAGTCACAATTTTTTTGGGGGAAGAGGTGCATTGGGGTTTGAACTCAGGGATTTGTGCTTCTTGGGCACGTGCCACTTGAGTCATAATCTCCAGGTCAGCCAAAACTTTTAACAACTCATCCTTTGTATAAAATTATTTATCAACAATAAATAAGTAATTAAATTTTCTCTTAGCTATGATGCATTTGTACTAATCTACACTCAAATCTCTTAATATGGGGTATACATTTATAAAGTTGCTATATAGGGGAGGAAATGCTCTCAGTCATGTAAATCTTTAACTGATTATTTCTAAACATTTTCTGTGTTCTCAGTTTTGATTTTATACTGTGGTAATGAATGCAAAATTAGTATAGATATTATGTCATGATATTTTGGTACCATGATATTATGATTTATTTAGGGAAAAGAGATATATGAAACAGTTACATACATTGTTCTACTTTGAATGTTTAAGAAGCTTACAAAAATATATCCCTATAAAATTTCAGGAATAGTGGAGGTTGTGGAGTAATTAGAGAAGACATCTTAGAAGAGATAAAATTCTGAGATCAGCCCTAAAGGATGTATAGGATTTAGAAAGGCAAAGAGGAGATTGTAGGTATTAAGGGAAAGGGAAAATAGTATAAACAAGGGCAAAATTAGCAGAATTAAACAGAATTAAGAATGGTGTACAGAGGAAATAGCTAAGGAAATCCACTTTAGAGGAAAAAGACATTAAGTAATAATGAAATTAACTACATAGATTGGGATGGAGTTGAAGATGATCTTGAAATCCAAGTCAAGTTATTAAATTTATTCTGTGAGCACTGAAAGACTTTTAGCAAAATTTAAGATGGTAATTTTTCCAACATTTATAATAACATTTTTAAGCATAGAGCAAAATTGAGAGAATTTTAGAGTGAACACCCAAAAACCCAGCACCAAGATCTGCTGTTAATATTTTATTGTATTTATTTTTATCACCTATCCATTTATCGTTTGTCCATCTACTAATCACCTAACTTTTTAAATGTACATACTTCAATTTATATATCAATAACAGTTAAGTATTTATTCATTTGTTCTAAAATGTGCACACAATGAAATACATACATCTTAAATGTACTTTGAATTATAACAAATACATGTATATTTAAAATTCAAACTCCTTTCAAATATAGAATGTTACCATGCTCCAGAAAGATTCCCTTGTGCCCTTCTAATCAGTTTTTGTCCCCACTGCCCAAAGGCACCATTCTGATTTTATCCTCCATATACCAGCTTTACCTGTTTTAGAGTTTCATATATATAGATTCTTACTCTTTTGTTTCAGACTTCTTTCATTCAACATGCTTCTGAGAGTCATCCATGTTGCATGTGTCGGTAGTTTTTGTATTCTATTACTGAGGTAGTGTTTCATTGTATGCATGTACCAGTTTCTTTTTTATTTTTCCCACTGAAAGACACTTAGGTGTTTTCTAGTCTTTGAAATTAATGAATAAAGCTTCTATGAACTTTTACAAGTCTTATTGTGAATATAACTTTTTTACTTGTCCTGAGAATGGAAGGGCTAGGTCATAAGGTTAGTTTAAAAAAGAAGTGGTCAAAACTTCATAAACATTCTCACCAGTTTTGGTTGCTTCCTATGCTCCATGTCGGTCTTTGAAGATACTTTATAGTCATTCTGTTGGTTGTATAGTGGTTTCCAATGGTGGTTTTAATTTGTATTTCCCTGATGACTAATGATGTTGACAATTTTTTGTTGTCTTTTATGAGTTATTCTTACTTATTTTATGAAGAATCTATTTAGATCTTCCCTATTTTTTGTTGAGTCATTGGTCTTATTATTGAGTTGTAGGAGTATATTTAGGAGTGTATTGAGTAGGACTTGAATGCAGTTAGTCCTTTGTCAGAAAAATATTTTGAAATATTTTCTCCCAGTCTGTGGCTGCCTATTAGTTTTTGTTTGTTAGTTCGCTTGGTTGTTTTTGGCAGTACCAGGGTTTCTACTAGTTTTCTTAGTGATGTTTTAATGAACTGAAGTTTTAATTTTGATAAATTCTAATGAGATTGTTTTATTTTGCCTGATAGCAGTTTTAGTGCTGGAGAAAATGAAAGAACTATTTTAACTCATCTAATTGTAAACTAGAAGCTAACAATTTTTTAATTACTTGATATATTCTCTCTGTCTCTGAGCTAGTTAAACACACAATAACTTAAGTTTGTTTTAATATAAATAGTATGACAAAGACTGGGAATTAAATGTATTTTGTTAGCCTGAGAGAAACACATGACTGTCAGGGGAGAATAGAAGCTAACTTGGGAATGGTCATTTGTTGAAATAATGAAGAAAAAAATGCTAATGTGACATGCTGTCAGTATCTCTCTGTCAAAGTGAGTGGAATGTTCTTTGTATAGACGATTAAATCTCTATGTACTTGTCAGGTTGTAAATGATTCTTTTGAGTTTTAAAAAAATTTTTATTATATTATTGTTCTGTAAATGATCATTTTGTGATACTGTAAAGCAAAATAGCTGTCAAAGTAATATTTTTGTCTTTGGAAATGAACTAAGAGATTGTAGGCAAATTTGTAGAATACATAGAAATTTAATGATAGAACTTGAATTCAGAAAAAAATACACTAAATGTTAATTAGGTTTCCACTTCAGGTGAAAAATATATCAAATTTAGCCAAGTGTGGTGGCACATGCCAGTAAATCCAACACTCAGAAGTCTGAGGCAGGGGAGGATGGTTAATTCAAAGCCATCCTGAGTTACATAGTGAGTTCAAGGACAGCCTTGGCTGCATAGTGAGACCTTGTCCTCGAAACAAAACAAATATATCAAGAGTTAGATCTTAAAATACTTTTTTATTTTAAGAACTTAAAAATAGCTTTTGTACTATACAACATGAATTTTCTAAATATGAATAAAGAAAAAGTACTTTTCCTTTAAATAATGGGTAATTAAGGACAAAAACCAGTTTTATACTTTAAAACACTTGTAAAGTATGATTTTTAAGTAATGCACAAACTAGAAACTGACTTTCTTCCTATTATTGTTAGTAATTAAATATGGATTAGAGGCTCTTAAAGTATTGTATTGGCCTTTGTATATAAAACTGTCACCAGGGAATTAGAGAAGTTGAAGTATAATTGAATACTTAGCTTTCACTAAATTGTGTTTCTTTCCATTTTATCAGGGTCTTAAATGTGTTTCGACACTGGGTTGAACACCATTTTTATGACTTTGAAAGAGATTTGGAATTGCTTGAAAGACTAGAATCTTTCATTTCAAGTGTAAGAGGTATATTATTTAAAGGTTTGATTGAATTTTATGTTGCATAGGAGTTTATTTAAAAAATATATAACTTTTAATTAAGATGCTAAACTTTGACTTTTGAAAAAAGTAAAAAAAGTCATTTGGAATGAGTGTTGTCAATTCTTAAAAAGCTCATATGTTTAGATTTGTCTGAAGTCTTAGACTCTTTCCTTTTCAAGTTTGTTTTTATTGCTGTTGCTTTTTTGCCCATTCAGGGCTTTGCCCATGCTACACAGATGCTTTACTACTGAGCCATATACCCAGCTCCTTTTTCAAGTTTCAAGGAGAATATTTCTTTTAAAGAAGCGCTCTGTAATAATTCTTGTTTTCCAGCCTTGAGATATTTAAGATATATTTTTATTTGTGTGTATCTTAAAATCGTTCATAATACTAAATTCACTTTTAAATGGTATTCTTAATGAGGATATAGATTATCTGTAATCTAAAATAACAGAATAAATCAAGTAAAGAGTTATGTTAATGTCTTAATTTTTTCCTATACAAGTTATACCTTAGAATAGCCAAATAGTTCACGCTGGAAAAATTGATTTTTTTAAAGTGGAAATAATTCATCTAAATAGTAAAGAAGGAATGACAGTATATCACCATTCCTTAATTCTAATAAGATAATAGCTCTAGGGACTTATCATGAGTGAATGCTTAACATCATAAAAAGAGAGATGACCAGACATTATGTCCCTCCTGTTAGAACTATTCTTGGCAAATCTTCATGTCAAAACATCAATCCTGAATTAGACCAAGTCACTAGATCTCTGCTTTTCAGAAAGTATAGGACTAGATAAACATGGAAGATAACCCAAAAGGAGTGAAATTGGCAAAATGAAGACCAGATAAACCACAGGATAAAATAATTCAGTTTCTTCAACAAACAAATTGAAAGCATTTTGGTCCAGCCTGGTGGTACACACCTATAATTCCTAGTATGAAAGCAGAGGCTGGAAGATTGAGAGTTCAATACTGGCCTGGGCTCAGTCAGACCCTGTCTCAAAAAATAAAATAAATGAAATAAAAATTTAAAAACCAAGCATTTTGAGTGATAAAGGGAGAACCTATAGATTAAGGGAGACATTGAGTAAATACAGTGTAAGAATCTTATTCATGTCCTTTTGAAAACAAACCAACTATAAGAAAACATTTAGGAGATGGAGAAATTTGCATGCTAACAAAATGTTTCAGGATAATTAACATGTCAGTTTGTATGTAATAATGGTATTGTGATTTTTTTAGAGTCTTCTAGAGACATACTTAAATTGTTCCAAGAATAATTTAAGAGAGTGAAGGGAGGGCATGCATGGGGTTAGGTAAAGCAAAAATTGGCCACAAGTTGATAATTGTTGAAGCTGGGTGACAGTTAAATATTATACATAGGTTTGCAATTTTGTCTGTCAAGAAAAAGGCATTCTATTTATGTACTCTATTCCCAGGGAAAGCTATGAAGAAATGGGTAGAGTCGATTGCTAAGATCATCAGGAGGAAGAAGCAAGCCCAGGCAAATGGAATAAGCCATAATATTACCTTTGAAAGTCCACCTCCACCAATTGAATGGTACATCAGTAGACCAGGACAGTTTGAAACATTTGAGCTTATGACACTTCATCCAATAGAAATTGCACGTCAGCTGACACTTTTGGAATCTGATCTCTACAGGTAGATAATGAGTATTCATTTCTTGCTCTATTTCAAGAAACTTGAATATACTTTTGCTAATTATTCATGAATGTTCAATAATACCTCATCTGTTCTCCCTGGCTGGGGATTTTTTTTTTTTTTTTTTGAGATAGGGTTTGACTGTGTGGTTCAGACTGGGCTAGAATTCATCATAAACAGTTTTTAACCGTAGTCTGCCTTGTAGACAAGTGTTACTTTTCTTTTTCTGGTGGTACTGGATGTTGAACTCAGGGCCTTGCACTTGCTAGACAGGCACGCTACCACTTGAGTCACTCCCTCAGCCCTAACATGTTGCTTTTTGATTTTAGATTAGGGCGTAGCAAGAGGAATGACAGGGAGAAAACAAATGCAATAGTATAGCAACCACTTACAAGTCACTTAACAAGTATTCTTCTGATACTTTCTCAGATTACTTGAGTTTGAGATTATTCATTCAGCTAAGTCAGTCAGTATGGATGCTAGGCTCTTGGTAACTAAATGAATAGAGCACTAAGTGAGGCAGGCTTTTTTCTCTCATTCATAAGTCATGCTTCTGTGAAGACTACAGACCTTGTGAGTTTTCATGATGTCAGCTCCCCATTGAAAAATAAGCCCACACCTCATCATTCCATCAGAATTTTTCTATGTCCAAGAACCACAGTACAAATAGTCTGGAGAAATTATACTGGCTTTGTCATTCTGAATCATACCTTTAGCATACTACCGTGTTTGTAAGCATCTCTGATTCAGAGCACCATGTTATCTTTTATCTTAAGTAGTTTGAAATTCAGGTAGGTTTTTTTTTTTTTTTAATATATATTGTGGAATTTGTGATAGGAAAGAATGAAGGGGTTTTTTACTTGAGGTAGCAAAGCAAATCATACTGAATCAAGTTTTGCCTCATTACATGAGTGGACATCAGAAAAAAACCAAAGCACTTAGTTCACATGGACCTGCTTCAAGAGATAGAAACGCCTTTGTTAAGTGATGTGTGCTATGAAAGAAGGGTAACATACATAAAACTATTTGTAAATTTCTGGTGAAATAATCCACTTAAGAAAACTTAAAACTGTTAGCATGTACCTGTTTGTATTCAAATCTACTGACTAAAACAATTTTTTTATGATAGTTAAGACTATAGGACATTGATAGTAGTGCCATTGGTCAGTTTTTAAGTCATATAATCCTGTCTGATTAATGATTTAATCTGCTCTTCTGACTTTTTATTAGCTATTTTAAGCATTCCAGAAATGTATAGAAAATAATACAATGAGTGCTTATGAGCAACAAAAACTTTACAGATAAAATTGAAATTATCCTTATAATTCTCCCAAATCTCATTGCTCTCCTTCCTGTGAAATTACCACTACTCAGAAACTGGTATTTATTGTTTCTGTTTGTCTTTATAATTTATATACCTATACACAGATTCCTAAATAATATATAGCATTGGTTTGCACATTTTTAAACTGCATATATTTATGTATCATTCTTTAACATGTTTTTACTTAAATTGTTTTTGATATTTATTCAAGTTAATGAATATAGTTCTAGATTGCTTATTTTACCTGCTATGTTGTTTTTTATTTTGTGACTATTCCAGTTTATATAGTCTCTTGAAGATGAGCCTCTATGTTGGGGTTTTTCACTTTTGCAACAGTGTTTCACTGAACATTCTGGTAAATATGTTCTTATAGCTTAGTGTAAGAGTTTGTTTAGAGTATATACATAGAAGTAGAATTGCTGAGTCAACTACATTAATACTGCCTTTCAGAATGTGAATTTTTGCAATCTTTCTAGATAGCATTCTAGCAATATATGTTAAATTTAAAATATACTCTTAGAACCAAAATCTTAAATAAATTTTTTTTAAATGCACAAGACTATAAAGTTATGTACAAAGATAGGGTAATTGCAATATTAATCATAGTGGCAGGAAACTAGAAATAACCTGGTGTCTGTCAACAGGGAAATGATTACATACATTGTCTTATACCATAGTATGAATATTGTTCAACTGTAGATAAAAATGAATAGGATCTTAGTATATTCCTTGGAAGAATATTTGTGAAATTTATGGGAAAACCCACAAGAAAGGAGTATCTTCAGTACTGTGAGATATTACCAAATCATTTTTCAAAGTACTTGTCAGTTTTTACTTCCCTATCCGTATTGGAGAGTTCTTGTTTTATAATATTTTTACCCATTTGATATTTTCAGACTATGTTAGTTTCACAGGAATAAAATAGGATTTCATTGCAGTTTATGTTCTTTTCTATGAGTAATTTAGATAAAGTATAAAATATTTTCATATTCCTGACTATTTGGATCTATATCTCTGTGAATTACTTGTTCATATGCTTATCAACTTATCTTTTGGGTTGTCTTTTTCTTATTAAATGTTACAAGATCTTTAAATTATTTCGATACCAATTCTTTTGTAGGTTAAGTTTTATTGATTTTTAATTCCACAGGAAAGTCCAACCTTCTGAACTTGTAGGGAGTGTGTGGACCAAAGAAGATAAAGAAATAAATTCTCCAAATTTATTAAAAATGATTCGCCATACAACAAATCTCACCCTGTGGTTTGAAAAGTAAGTTTTTGTTTTCTCTATCTTATTGCCTCTTAATAATTATAACATTAAGTCATATTTAAGCTAAAGTTCTGGCTGTACAAAGATGAAAAAACTTTTTTAAGTCATGAATGCTTTGTTGTTGTTATTAGATGCATTGTGGAAGCAGAAAATTTTGAAGAACGGGTGGCAATACTAAGTAGAATTATAGAAATTCTGCAGGTTTTTCAAGATTTGAATAATTTCAACGGCGTACTGGAGATAGTCAGCGCAGTAAATTCAGTGTCAGTGTACAGACTAGACCATACCTTTGAGGTAAGTTTTAGGCTCAAACATTTTATCCTTGTGGTGAAAGATAAAATTAATGTATGAGATTACTTCTACTGCCTATCTTTTTGAGTAAATTCTTTGTAAATCCATCTTTTTACTTTCAATATAATTGTATAAGATAATAGAAAATATATATCAAACTTTATCAGTAAATTTAAGATTCATTAAAGAATATGGGACTTGTACCTCTGTTTAATATACTTAACCTAAATGTAAAAATCTCCAAGTTGATTTTTTTTTCCAATGGCAATTGGTTGATAAATGACAAAGGATTTAAAATATAGATACACAAATAACTTCTTGATCACTTTTAGTATATAGTTAAAAAAGAATAAAACGAAGAGGACCCATTCTAAAACTTAAATTTATTTTACTTTAAATTATAACGTGTTTAGTGTTAATTATAGAAAATTCAGAAGATACAGAAAATATAGAAAGATATATTTCATTAAAATTAAAAATTGAGATTGTATTTTGCATAGATTTTTATTGCCTACATCTTTTCTCCTTAAAAATGTGTTCTGTTTTATTAAACTTATCTTCAAAACCAAGGTTTTTTAATAATTACATAGCTTTCTTTCTCATGGTTAAACCATAATTCATCATTCTATTTTGGAATTATTATGTTTTTTTCTGGCTTTTTGTTGTGATAAATAATTATTTTGTATATACAAACCTTTGTGAATCTTTGATTATTTCCTTAGAATAAATTTCTAGAGACGGAAGTTCTCCTGGGTCAGAGTATTTGAACATTTTTAGACTTTTGATATTTTTTTTAGCAAGACATATAAATGTCCCTGGGAATAACTACAATATTAAAAACTATAGATTTCAAGGAACAAAAATTAAAATTTTCACTTTAATTGTATTTTTAAAAATAAAACCAGGTGCTAGTGGTTCATGCCTGTAATCCTAGCTACTTGGGAGTCTGAAATTGGGAGGAGCATGGTTTGAGTCCAGACCAGGTAAATAGTCTAAAAAAATAGCTAGTTCAAAAATAGGCTAGAGATGTGGCTCAAGTAGTAGAGCACCTGCTTTCCAAGCATGAAGCCCTGAGTTCCACCAAAATTAAAAATTAAAAATAGTAAGGTTGAATATACTAAATGTATTTATTGGCCACCTTTACTTTTTTCTTTATGATTTATCTGTTCATGTCCTCTCATTGTTCTTTTTGGGTGTTTGTATTTTACTGATTTATGTGGTTTTTAATATATTAAAGATACTAGAACTTAGTCATACTGCCTATAATTTCCCTGGGTTCTATTTGTTTTGTCTGTTTTTTAATTTAAAATGTAAAGTTCAATATATGGTATCATAAATCAAAATCTCTTCATCTATGGGTTCTTTCTTTACTTTGGTAACTGTGAAGACTTTATTTCTAAGTGAAGACTAGAAGGTATACATAGCTATCTTAATGAATACTACCTTTGGGAATGTGAATTTTTACAGTCTTTCTGGGAAGCAACCTAGCAATCTATGGTAAAATTAAAAATACATACACTCTTGAACTCAGAATTTTAAAGAAATAAAATCTTTTTTTTTTTTTTTTAGCAGTACTGGGGATTGAACTCAGGACTTCACCCTTGATACGCAGGTTCTCTCCCACTTGAGCTAGGCTCTCAGCCCTAAGAAAAAAAAAAAGCACCAGAGTGTAAAAGTTGTATATACAGCAATACAGTGATTGTAACATTAATCGTAGTGGCAGGAAACTAAAAATAACCTTAATGTCCACTAATGGAGAGTGATTTACATAGTGTCTTATACTATAATATGAAATATTGTTCAGCTGTATATAAAAAGTGAATGGAATCTTCATGCATTCCCTTGGAAGAATATTTGTGATATTTATGGGAAAACCCATAAGACTTCAGAATAGCTGTTATATGATTCCATTTTAGTATAACAAAACAGAACAAACCCTACATCTCTGATTTATACAAGTATTGAGAATAGTGTGGAGAGATACATATTCCTCTCTTAACATTGGTTCTTTCAGTGGGGTTTGATTAGAGGGGCACAAAGGAGGAATTACTTTCATGTATGCATTTTTCTATTTAAGTGTTTGCATTTTATTGACATGAATTTGATATATTAAAAATATTAAATAGTCTGTTTAGATAATAATTTAATGCTGATTTTGAAAACTGAGATAGTATTGATTTTAGACATTAGTATTAGTTTTTTAATATTGGGCAGTAGTTTTTGTAAAATTCTGTATAGTATATAAAAAGTAAAACAAAACAAAACAAATCTGTATACCTGGCATCCAGTTTAAGACCCCTCCAATTTCATCTCCTTCCTTTCCCCTTCAGAACTATCCATTGTGAATTTCATGCTTTTAGTTATCTTTTTCCTATACTTTTAATATTGGTATCACTAAACTGTATTGTTTCATTTATATGTTTCTTAATTCTGTATGAATATTGTTATTCTTTTACTCAGCATTATATTTCTAAAATTTATTCACGCTTTTTCTTATTATTGTAGCTCATTTTTTCATAATTTTATTATAGAAATAAATTTACCAAAATGAATTAATTTATTCTTTGAGTTGTTTCCTCTAAGAGGCTATTATGAGCAGTAGTGCTGTAAGAATTTTTCACATATATCCTGGACATATTACTTTAAAAGTAGAATTTTTGGAAATAGAATTGTGGTATGATAGGATATGGATCTCTTCAACTTTGCTAGGTAATGCCAAGTTATTTTCCCAAATAGTTATATCAGTGTATATTCCCATAAGAAATATACGAGATCCAGTTATTTCACATTCTCACCAATGCTTGCTATTGTCAAGCCAGTCTTAGGGTTTTGGTTTATATGTTCCTGATTTCTAATGAGTTTGCACCTATTTTCAACTGCTTATTTGTTCTTTGTATTCTTGTGGTGAAAAATTTTTAACCTTTTTTGTTGCATTTTTCTTATGAATTTGTATGAACTCTCTTATATTCAGGATTCTAATGTGTTATTCTTTATATTGTTGTAAATATATTTTACCAGATTGAAGCCCCCTTTTAACCTGTTTTGAGGATGCCTTTTGATGAATGAGCTCTTAAGGTCCTCCTCTATTATTCTAATGTTTTGTCTCTCTCTTAATTCTTAATCCATACTGAGGAGGCTGAGGTAGGAGGACAATAAGTTTTAAGCCAGCTAGGCTACATAGCAAGATCCTGTCTCTCTCTCTCTCTCTCTCTCTCTCTCTCTCTCTCTCTCTCTCTCTCTCTCTCTCACACACACACACACACACACACACACACACACACACACACACACAATTTAGCTGGAGTGTGGGTGAACTTAGAGTCTAAATTCATTTTTGGTTCCATGTGGCTACCCAGTTGCTCTCACACATTCATTGAAAGTCTGTTCTTTTCCCCATATAGTGCTAGCTGTGTTATGAATTGAGTACCCATACATGTGGGCCTGGTTCTGGTCTTTCTATTCTTTTGTTTGATTTTATATACTTAATTTTTCCTGTATCACATGTTTAAATTACCATAACATCATATTGATTCTTGATGTAGGGCAAGTTCTCACCAATCTTACTCTTAAGAGTGACCTATTCTTGCCCTCTGTTTTCCTATGTGAAGTTTAGAATCAATTTGAGCTTCATTTTTAAAAATTGGGATTTTGATAGGAGTTGCATTGGATCTTCAATTAGTGAAGAAGTGACAGTTTTATAGGAATGAGTCTTCCTAACCAAGAACCATTTATTTACTCATTTAAGATAGTTTTATGGTTTTATTAACAAAAAAACCCTTATACTTTGTTAGATTTATATTGGAATCTTTTTTTATAGTATTTTTCTTTTTGATGAGATGCAGTTATTTTTATTGGTTTTTTATGAATAGCAACATTGATGAGTACTCTCATTAACATACGTAGATTTTTGGAGTTTCTTCATATCCTCTTTGCATAGGGATAGTTTTTCTTTTCAATTCATAATCCTTTTATTTCTGTTTCTTATCCGTTTTAACTAGGACCTTTTGCTTTCTCCTTAACTTAAAGGAAATAATTGAATGGTTCTTATGAAGTATGTTTGCTATGGATTTTGTGTATGTATGTATGTACTCTTTATTAGGTTATAAATGAATTGATTTTCAGTAAGAAAATGTAATCATGAAATAAAAAAGAAATGCCTATGTTTACTTCATTCATTAAATTTTGTTCAGGTGTTCTGACCCTCCCACAGTCTTCTCATCATTAAAACTCTGCTTTCAGCTCCAAAAGACCTTTCAGTGGATTGAATGCTGAAGGGTGATAATTCTCCTTTGCTACACTATAATGTGAAACCCTGGCTAATCAAAATTATAATTAATAAGGTCCTGAGGAAGAATTTTGTAATCTTCTAATTTATATTAGAAAAATTTAATTTTAGGTTTTATATTTATAGATAAAAACAGAAGAAATCATTTTAGGCAAATAAATGCCCGAATTATTTGCCCAAATAAACGCCACTCATAATTTTAAAAATTACTCTTCAGTTATTTGCAAACTTTTATAAATTCTAAAGTTCTATATCCATAAGTATGATTTATATTCAATTTATATAATTTATACAATAATTCAATTTACATAATTGAATTATATTCAATTTCTATGTTTTCAAGGCATTACAGGAAAGAAAAAGGAGAATTTTGGATGAAGCTGTGGAATTAAGTCAGGATCACTTTAAAAAATACCTAGTAAAACTTAAATCAATCAATCCACCTTGTGTGCCTTTTTTTGGTAAGTTTCTAAATATGGACATTGTATTTTGAGGGTGAATGTATTATAGCCAGAGGAGGCTAGTCTTCAGAGGCAGGTTGTCCTTATACCAGCTTACCTGTATTTATAAGTTGTCTGTATTGATAAATAAAACTCTCTTTTCTTATCTATAAAATGACAATTATGCTAATTCCCTCATAGGGTTGTAAGAATTTTAAAATATGTTATTGTATTGCCTAATACAAAATCTATCATAGAACAGGTACTCATGAAGTAGCAACTATTATTTTTATACTATCTATGTATCTATACTATATCTACAGCATTTATTTTTAATTTACTAAAGATTTTATGGTGGTTTTGTGGTGGTTTTAATTTATCAAAGGATTTTAAGGGATTTTTTAAACTTAGAATTGAATTGTTGTTATGTATTATGTAAGGCAGAATTTTATAAAGTGAACTTTTAAAATTTTGTTTCTGAGATGAGGTCTCATTAACTTTTGCCCAGGTTGTCCTTGAACTCATGACCCTCCTACCTTTGCTTCCCAAATTGCTGGGATTGCAGACATATATTGAGTCCAGCTGAACTTTTCTTAATGACAGGGATACATTCTGAAAAGTGTATCATTAGGCAGTTTTGTTTTGCAACATCATAGAGTGTTCTTATATACGAACCAAGATGGCACAATAATATGACCTCTTTGTGTGGAATGATTTTTGGTTTTTTTGAGATGAGGTCTTGTTTATGTTGCTCAGCTGGTACCAAACTCCTGAACTCAAACAATACTTCTGACTCAGTCTCCCAAGTAGATAGGGTGATGGATGGGCATACACCATTGCGTCCAGCCTTTAGTGTGGCCTTGTAACACAGTAAACAGGAGGTGTGTAGGACTGTTGCCAGCCTAACATACTGTTTCACAATAAACTATTTCTTTATAAGTACAAGTATGTTCTAAAATAATAATAAATATAGTGTAGTAAATGCAGAAACCAGTAACAAAGTCATTTATTATCATTATGAAGTATTATGCACTGTATATAATTGTACGAGTTGTACTTTTGTATGATAGGGGCAGCAGTAGGTTTGTTTATAACAGCATCATGAGGAAACACTTGAGTAATGCATTGAACAGCTGCTACTATTTTTCAGCTCCTTTTTTGGGGGTGTGAAGGCGGGTTGCTGAGGATTGAACCCAGGGCCTTGTGCATGCTAAGTATACACTCCACCACTGAACTACCCTCGGGCTCCTCCATTCTGAGCTCATGATGCCACTGTTGTATATCCAATCATCATTTCCCTAAACATAATTATGTGGCACAGGAATATACTATTGAAATATAATGATTTATTTAAGTCAAGGTTTTTCATCCTCAGTACTATTGACTTTTGGACAAAATTATTCTTTGTTGGAGGGCCTGTCACATGCATAATAGCCTCCTGGTGTCCTGTTCACTAGATGCCAGTAGAACCTCCTAACTGTAATAATCTGAAATGTCTCCAAAATATTCTCAAACTTACCCTGAGGGATAAAATTGCCCTCAGTTGAAATCCACCAATTCAAATGAATCAGTAATTATGCATGAAAAAGGGATTAAAAGCCTTTTTACTGTCAAGGGTGAGAAATAATTATTTTTCCAGTCAGGTGTGGGTAGTAATGCCAGCATTTAGAACATTGAGGTAGGAGGATCTAAGTTCAAGGCCACCTTAGGCTACATAGCGAGTTTGAGGCCAGCCTGGGCTATGTAGTGAGACCTTGCCTCAAAAAAAAAGGAAGAAAGAATTACTTTTCTATCTAAATTATGGGCTCTGAGAAATAGTTTTTTAAGTCTGTACTATTTGTAACCAAAATTGCTTAAAGATAATTTATTGATAATCACTTAAAGATCATTAACATTAAATATTTGTAATCAATATGAAAACATTTGTTTAGAATAGATCTTAATACTGAGGGTTTAGAAATCCTTAATTTGCCATTTCCTAGACTAGTAGCCTCTAATTTAGTATTTTCCTTTTATTTTAAATTCTGTGTTAGAAAATTCTTAATGGAGAATTAGTCATAGAATCTACCAGAGCCTTGCCTATCAATTATATTGGAGTAGAATTGCTGTGTTCTACTATGTGTCTTTCATCTTTTCTAGATCAGTTGTTTTCCCAAATGATAATAATATAACTAATTTCAAAATAATTTTTCTTTAAATACTTTTTCACTAGGAATATATTTAACAAATATTCTGAAGACTGAAGAAGGGAATAATGATTTTCTAAAAAAGAAAGGGAAAGATTTAATCAATTTCAGTAAGAGAAGGAAAGTAGCTGAAATTACTGGAGAAATTCAGCAGTATCAGAATCAGCCTTACTGTTTACGGATAGAACCAGAAATGAGGGTAAATATTTTCTTTGCTTGTCTTTAAAACAGAACATGTTAAGTTCTGTATGATCTCTAAGAAATATCATAATCACACATCATGCTATTTATTTGATTTTGAAAATAAATCAGTAGATGGTTAAATATTAGATATCTATACTATTTGCATTTATTAACATTAAATACTTTCTCTTGAAAGTGTGCTTCTTTGTACAGTTGATTCAAGCAACACTTCCAAAACATGAATGTCAAAGAACAGAATTTTTCTGATGTCCATGTAGTAAAAAGAAAATCTACAATAAATCTAATACTATAATTGAGTGATAGTCATTTTAAATAGTTAACATGTGCCAGTGTAACATTAAATAATTCATCTCTTCATAAAATCATAGTGTTTAAATAAGAGAAGGGCTGGGAGAATACAAAAGATAACTTGTTAAACATTGTATCAATTGATGACCCATTTTGAGCAATGCTGTATAATAATGATTCTGTGATACCATAAAATGTGGGATAACTTCTAAATTATGATACAGTTTTTATGGTAAATGAATTTTATTATATCATACTTATTTAAACTGAGAACATATTACAACTGTCAACCAGAATAAGTTCGCTTTTGACATTAAAAATTGTATTAAGTTTCTTGATGTAGTCTACAAGTTAGACATACTAAGTGCAAATAACCACAAATCACTCCTGTCTTCCTAAATTATGAGACAGTAACTATTCTTTGTTCCCATTTCAAAACAGAGTACCCTAAAGTCCTAAGCAAGAATGACCTAAAGCATACCAGTGTGAAAATAGAGATACCTTCTTTCAAGAAAAATGGTGATAAGCTACTGGTGGTCACTATTTCATCCCATTCCCTCACCATTGAGCCCACTCTGTGATGAGGAGCTTCACAGGACTAACCTAGACTAGAGTTCACAGTTTATTTTCCCAGAAAAATGATGTTCCATTGGAATTGGATAAAATAGTACTTTTAGCATTCACTATCTCAAAAACATAACTGGTATTAGGTTTTTGTGATCTGGTCTAGTCTTATCATTTAAAACATTTTGGGGAAGGAGAAAATGCCTTCTTTATAATTGAGTCATAGTAAGCTTAAAATGTAGACAAAGTAATCTATTCATTTTTCAAACCAAAGTTAACCAATCTAAATAGTATTAGAAAATAGAGGAAAAAATAGGAAAATCAAGAATACAGCTACTGTAGCTTTCTAAGTCTTTAAATTATTGTTGGCTCATATAATTTAGCCTCATTAACTTGAATATAAGAAAAATTGTTTCTGTTAGAGGAATAACAAAATTTTCTTGAAATTGACAGAATGCCTGAAAAATAGGAAGAATTTTACACTAGAAATTTAAAGTTCATTTTACCTCCTTCTAAAACTAAAACCCAGTCCTTACTTTTACATTTGCTTCTAAAACTCTTCAAAATTAAATAAAGCTAGCCAAGCATGGTGGTTCACACCTGTAGTTCCAGCACTCAAGAGACTAAGGCAGAAGGATCATGAGTTGGAGTATATCCTGGACTATATAGCAAGACCCTGTATCAAAAAAACAAAACAAAACAAAATTAGATAATGCTAAATCCAGTAATTTGCTTCTAAGGATGTTTGTGAGAAAAGCATAAATATACAGAAAAGTTTATATACAAAGAGTTAATAATAATTATTATTGTTAGAAATGGAAGAGGCAGAGACAGCTCAAAAGGCCGCACAGGATTTATTGTTCTGGAAGGAGCCGTGTGGAGGCAAGAGAGCTGGAGCCCACAGCTGCTTACAGACTTGGAGTAGATATAGGGGAGCGGTCTGGAAGGGAAACCTTGCTGGGTGGGAAAATTCTTCAGGTGGAGTGGAGTCCATTGGTAGGGGAAGCTAGAGGAGATAAGTGGTAACTAGGTAGGTAAGTTGCTCAGGGAAACTAGAGGTGGTAAGTGGTAATTAGGTAGATAAATTGCTGTTCCCAGACCTCCTGGCAAAGTGGTAGCTTGTCATTCCTTGAGGCTAGATGTGGTCCTTCCAGTGGGTGGTGGGGTGTCAATAAGCTGCCTGCAATGGTAGGGGGTCCAATTCTAAGGTGGCTTATTTTTGTTCACCCTAACAATTATCATTTGATCAAAGTACATTATATGCATGTATGGAAATACCACAGTGGCTTTGTATAATTAACATACACTGATAAAAAATTATTATCATAGCAAAGAATTAGAAAGCTCCTCTATAGATAACTATTTCTATGGGGATTAGTGAGATAAATTTTGGAATATGTTTGATGAAATACCATAGAGTTAAAATTTGTACTTTATAAGATAAATAAGCCACGTGGAAAAAGTTATTTGACTATAAACTTTTAAAAGATTTCAAATAGCTATAATGTCCCAATTGTGCAGAAAAAAATCTGTATGTATGTATGTTCATCTATTTGTACACATGGTAAAAAAAATCAGAAGATATCATAATAGTAAAATGTAAAGAGTGAGGTTTCTTGTTAGTGAGATTACTGTTTGTTTGGCGTTTTTCTTTTCTGTTTTATATTTTGGCATTTCCTAATGCCACAATCATCTCAATTTCCTACTTAAAAACTTAAATTTAAGGTTGAATACATTTTTGGTAAATATTTTTTGATATTAGAGGTTAACACATAACTTTAAAGTTTACAGATAACTTTAAAGTTTATTATTTTTCCTGAAATTACTTTTTTTTTCCTCTAGTACTGGGGCTTAAAGTCAGGGCCGTGTACTTACTAGGGAGGTAGGTGCTTTACCACTTTAGCCACTCCTTAGTCCTCTTTGCTTTAGGTATTTTTCTGAATAGGGTCTTGCATTTATTCTGAGACTGGCCTAGACCACAGTCCTCCTATTTATGCTTCTAGTGGTAGCTGGGATGATGTGCCACTGTGCCCAGTGTTTACTAATTGACATGGGGACTGGAGAACTTTTTGCCCTGGCTGAACTTTTTGCACAGTCCTCCTGATCTCTGCCTCCCAAGTAGCTAGGATTTGCAGGTGTAAGCCAGCTTGCCAGGTGTTTGAATAGACCTTAATCCAATTCATCTCTGCTCTTTCCCCTGTATATTGAAATTGTATTATTGTGGTTTTTAACTAATTTTGCTTCTAAACACTTTTGTTAGGCTTCTGATAATCATTTTGTTATTATAGTGAGTAGGAATAAAGTTTAGTAAGGGACAACTAATACTAGCTGCTGAGCCATTAAGGTGGAAATAAATGAAAATCCATTTATCTTATTAATACAACTATAAGACTGGAATGTAACTACTGTAGAAATTGTGCACTCTTATTCAAAAATAGAGAGTAGAATAAGCAGTATTTGTGAACTTTTCAGACATTGTTGTCTCTTGATTTGTTAATTTTTAGTATTAATATTATGAAATAATTTTTACCAAAATTTTAATAAAATCTTATGGTAATACTAAAATATGTCCTTATGGGCATTTCTTTAATTTCAGAGATTCTTTGAAAACCTTAACCCCATGGGAAGTTTATCTGAAAAAGAGTTTACAGACTATTTGTTCAATAAATCACTAGAAATTGAACCCCGAAGCTGCAAACAGCCACCTCGATTTGTAAGTCCTTTACAATTTTGAAAACTATTTTCTGTTCTTAAAAGTATTTTCAATATTTAATAACCTGTTCTCCTAATATTGTAATTTAATCAGGTAGCTGTTTTAGGTGCTTTATTTTACAATGCTATACTACTTCTAAAATATATACCGGGCTGGGGATGTGGCCCAGTGGTAGAGTACTTGCCTGGCATGCACAGGGCTTTGGATTCCATCCTCAATCCCCAGCATTGTGAAAAAACAACAGTTGTATGATATAGCTATACAGATCCATCCTTCCTTCCTTCCTTCCTTCCTTCCTTCCTTCCTCCCTCCCTCCCTCCCTCCCTCCCTCTCTCCCTCCCTCCCAGATTCAAGATTTCATGCATTGCTAGTCAAGTGATCTCTCACTGAGCTACACCCCAAGCTCAACTATGATGTAGATCTTCAAATGAAAAAAACCGGAGGCTCAAAAGGATCAGATAACTGTTGCAAGGCTGCATCACTAGATACTGGCACAGCTGAGATTTTAACTCAACTCTTGTAAATCTGAGTTCTGTGTTTTTTCATTAGGTTACCATTGCTACAGTTTAAAAAATGGGGCAAAGGTTAGGATTGGCAACAATGTTAGCAGTTTTCCCCAAAGGCATTGGGGACTGTTGTACAGGTTAATCATTTAATATAAGAAAAAGAGAAAAGATGGTCTTTTTTTTTTTAATGAAGCAATAGCATAATGTATTGCATAAATTACATTCCCAGTAAATGTTTGTGAAGTTGATGTAGGTGATTTGAAAGAAGTTTAGATTTGAGTATCTTATACAAAAAGTTGTCCTCACACAAATTTTCAAGAATTTTATTTCTACAGCTATGCAAAATATTTAATTATATTCAAGTCCATCTTAAAATTAATATAGTCAAATCTAGAATGCCATGAGCTGCCCTTGCAGATTGAGATTTTATTACATTGTTTTAAACATGTGCTTGAGAATTAAAAAAATAGCTAACTCATAAAAACAAAATGCATACAAGATGATGATCTTAATTATGTGTGCTTTTCTTAGCCTAGGAAATCAACTTTCTCCTTAAAATCTCCTGGAATAAGGCCTAATACAGGCCGACATGGCTCTACCTCAGGTACTCTACGAGGTCATCCAACACCATTAGAAAGAGAACCCTATAAAATAAGCTTTAGTCGGATTGCTGAAACTGAGCTTGAATCAACAGTGTCAGCACCAACATCTCCAAATACACCATCTACTCCACCAGTATCTGCTTCTTCAGACCTTAGTGTGTTTTTAGATGGGGATCTCAGTAGTTCCTGTGGTAAGTATTTGATGAAAACCATTTGGTAAAAAAGGAGTTTGATGTTTCAGATAATTCTTTCATCTGTTTCATTAGGGAACTATAGAATCCTATGCAACCTATATTAGTGTGAAAAGTGACATCAAAATGAGAAAATGTGCTTAAAATGGAAGTCAAGTATCATTTATGCATTGTTTATGACTATTTTCTAATTTATTCATTCAACAAAGATTTATTTTATTGCTTTTTGGGCCCCACTACCACTCAAAAGGGAACAATAGATAATGAAGAAGGAAACAAGTACATTATTTTTGTGAGGAAAATTAAAAAGAGCTATGATAGAGAGGGAGTCAGTTACACTAAGAAAGGAAAAACAATCTGGGTACAAGGTATATTGGGTTCATTGAAAAAAATCACATGGAAGACATAGTAATAACATCCAATGTTACATGTATAGTACATGTTGCTTTATGCAAATGTTTAAAAAATAAAAACATACTAATTACTTTCCTTTTCAAATTAATTTCTCATTTCCATAGGCAGCAATAGCATCTTTGCTCCAGTGCTCTTGCCACATTCAAGTAAGTAAAAATATAAATTGATTCTAATGAAATGACTGTAAAAATAATAATCTGGTTGCTTAAATTTGTATTTGAATATTTTGGGACTTAGCAATATTTAAAGAATAAAAAAATGAAAGTAATTTTTTTCTTTTTTCCTGTCTTCTTGGTTTTTTGTTTGTTTGTTTTTTAATAGTACTAGGATTATGTTTGCTAGGCAGGTGCTCTACTGCTTGAGCCACACCTCTAGCCCTTTTTTACTCTGGTTATTTTTGAGATAATCTCACTTTTTTGCCCAAAATATCCTAGACTGACCATGATCCTCCTATTTTTGCTTCCTGAAGGAGTTGGGATGACAAATATGTACCACCATGCCCAGCTTTTTCAGTTGAGACAAGGATCTTTTTGTCCAGGCTGATCTGGAACTGTGATCCTCCTGGTCTTAGCTTCCATAGTAGTTGGGATGACAGGTATGCCATATGCCCAGCTATTGGTTAAGATGCAGTCTTGTAAACTTTTTGCTTGGGTTGGCCTCAAATTGTGATCCTCCTGTTCTCTGCCTCCTGATAGCTAGGATTACCAGTGAGCCACCAGTGCCCAGCTTGCTTATTTCCTTCCTTCCTTCCTCCCTCCCTCCCTTCCCTCCTCCCTCCCTTCTTTCCTCCTTTCATTTCCCTTCCCTTCTTTCCCCCCCTCCCTTCTTTCCTAGTGATAGGGATCCAACCCAGGGCCCCATGGAACCTCTACTTCTAGCATAAGATGTATATAATTTAGATAGTAGCAAGAATTTCTGTCATATGTTAAAAGTAAATTTAGTCTTTTCAGTGTTTAATTTCATATTTAATTCAAAATAAATTGTCAAAGTAATACCTGCATAGAATTTAAAAGACAAATAGTAACACTTAAAGTGAAACTAACAGCAGCTCCCTACTACTTGTTTCCCCTTTCTTCTTCACAATACTTTCATACTGATATTTTTATATTGTTCTCTCTTCTGAATCATTAGTTTTAGACAATGTGTACTGATTTCCTTATGGTAATGAGAATTCCATGCTCTACCTTGCCTATACTTGCATTTGGAACAAATATTCATTGCTAAATCAAGTACAAGGTATGCTATGACTGTATTTCATTTCTTACATAGTTTTGTTTTCTGGAGTTAATAATTGCCTCATTAATGCTTTGGGTTTGTTTGTTTAACACCTATTGCTCAGTCTTCCCATACCTTTCCATAGCAGTTTTCCATACAGTCAAGCCAATTAAGAAACTTATTAGTATTTTTTTTCTTTTTTAGTTTTCTTCTTAACCTGGAAACTTCTTCCTGGTATCCTTCATGGCACTCCTGTTCCAGTCTGGACTGGTGACTGTTTCAATCTCTGGCCCAGCTGTCTTCCTAGAACTTTCCAGAAATTCTGTTTCCCATCTGTGTTTATCTTTGCTTTTTGTATTCCTTATCTTCTTTCTTTCTTTTTTTTTGGTACTGGGGTTTGAACTCAGGGCCTCATGTCTGCAAGACAGGCGCTCTGCCACTTGAGCCACTCCGCCAGCCCCCTTGTCTTCTTCCTTGATATTCTTATTTTGGTAGGTGCCATCCTTCAGTAGCTATTTGAGAATATATGCCATAGAGAAATAAAATAATACATTTCTGAAAATGTATTATACGTTTCATTGTATTGGGGGATTTGTTTATTTGCTTGTTTGTTTTTGGTGGTACAAGGGTTGAACTCTGGGCCTCAAGCTTGCTAGACAGGTGATTATTATTTGAGCCACTCCGCCAGTCCACATTTAATTGTTTTGTGGCTGGATATAGAATTTATTTTTACTCAGAATCTTGAAGGCATTTCTCCACTGTCTTCTATCTTTTATAATTGCTGTTGAGAAATCTAATGTCATTTATTTATTTAGTGCACAAGTCTTGAATGCCTGATATATGTGAGAGATATGGCTATGAACAAATAGACAAAAATTCTTCTTTCAATGACTCTACAGTTTCAGTCTTTTTTTTAAACAGCCAAGATGTAACTACAGTTGCAAAGGGATCCAAAAACACAGTATCTTACATGAAATAGGAGTGTATTTCTTAGAATAGCCAGAGCAAGTAGACAACTCTGCTTCACAAGATTTTCAAGGTAGCAGATGTGGCTTCTATCTCTCTCTTGAGCAGCTGTTCCAGTTGTTACCATTTTTCAGCTAGCAATAAGGTGAAGGGTAAGGAGCTTTTTATGAAAACACGATCTGGGAGTTGCATCTATCTCTTCTGCTCTCATCCTAAAACTTAGTCACTGAGATGTACTTAGCTGTAAGGGAGGCTAAGAAATGCGATCTCTAACCAAGCAGTCATTTGCCTTACCAAAATTTATGGATTCCTATGGTGCTAAAAGTAAAAAGGGATGGTGTACTTGGAGACAATTCGCAGTTTTGCCACAATATATTTAGGAAACTTTTTAAATCTTCTCTTTATTCTTAATGACTATAAATTCACAATGAATTGCTTTGATATGGGTATTTTTTCCTTTCATTTTGCTTTTTTCTTAATGAACACTTTAAACTTAGAGGTTCACGTGTTTAATTTCTAGAAAATGTTCTTTTTATTTTTGGTTATTTTTTCCCCTACCACATTCTCTGACTCCCTTTGGGATTTCTGTTTTCTTATGTTGTACATCCTACATTGATCCTCCAATTTTCTTGTCTTTTATCTTCTGTTGTCCGTCTCTTTGTTGTCTTTTTCTTTTTTCTGGAAGATTTCCTCATACTATTTTTCAGTTCTTCTGTTTTCTTCATGTCATGATTTTGAACTTCTAAGACTCTTCATTGTTTTTTTCCAGATTATCTTTCTCCCCCCTTAGTATTAGGGATTGAACCCTGGGCCTAGCATGTAAGCTGTGCCCACCAGCAAGCTGTTTTCCCTAAAGGTCATATGAATGCTGTCAGGAATAATAAAACTTACATGCTTCCTTGTTCAGTTAGATAATAGAAAAAGAGATACAGAGACAAAATAACAAAGTGCTTTTCCAAAGAGCAAAGGATACCCTTTTCAATAGTACCCAGAAAAATCTCCTCTCATATTTCAGTGACCTGAATTAGGTCTCTTGCCTACAGTTCAAACAATCACTGTGAGTAACCAAATGGAATAAGATTCTGATTGACTCAGGCCTCATCCTAAAGGGTAAGGGGTAAGGGCAGCTTTCCCTAAAGTACACATGGCTGCATGTACAAGACAGAGGCAGATAAAAATCTGATCTTAAGAAATGAGACTGCAAATACCATGTCTACTTCTTGGGTGGAACTGGCATGCACTGGATGGGATTGGCTGACGAAAATCCACTGGGCATGGATTTCACTACCACTAAAAGGAATTTTGCTCTCAGAAATAGGGCAGAAGATGCTAGACAGGTGTGAGGAAAAGATCCACAGCAGGTAATGCTCCACGTAACCTCCCCTTACCACATCTACACCCTGTACTCATACTTTCTATGTGAGCTGTTGTCGCCTGAGCCAACATTACCCTTAAAGGTAATTGCAGTCACGTGATAGGGGTAGCAATTTTTGACATGGAATAATGAATTTAATATTTCTACTTAAGGCAAGTGCTCTAGTTCTGAATCCATTCCTTCTCCTGTCTCTCTTGGCTTCCACTGTAGCAAATTATATTAGCACACAGGATTAGAAGATGGGGGACAATCTGAATGTGGTAAGGGAGACATGAATGACTGCTAAAAATGTGATAAGCTAACTTTCTGGAGAAGTCTTGATAAGATATGTCTATCTCTGCAAGAGGATTTGGAAGTTGAGAATGTACAGTGAGATTACCACATGCGGCCGTGTAAAAAAATTTTTTTCATTTTTGCAAGAATCCTAAAACATGTTCAAGGCCCTGGGTTCTATCCCAGCACCCAAAACTAACACAATAACAAACCTGTAGCTTTATAAATCAGTGTAAAGTGGCTTACAGAGAAATCTACCAAATATGTTTATGTCACATCTTACTCATGACTTTAATGGCCCTAATGCTTTGACATTGCTGTATTGACATTTATGTATTCCTTATACATATGCATATAAGGAAGTTATATCCTTAACTTTCTAAGCATTCTGTCATCTACTCACTGTACCTGGATGAAATATAGTAGGATTTATCAATAGTAATGAGTAGTGGTCATGACTTGTTGACGTGTCCATTATAAACTTTAATTTTAAATCAGGCTTGGTGGTACATACCTATAATCCCAACACTCAGGGGGCTGAGGAAGAAGGATTGTGAGTTAGGGACCAGCCTAGACTACATAGTGAGACACTGTCTCAGTAAATAAATTGATGAATTAAGTAAACAAAAACTTTAACTCCAAATGGTTTATGCATAGTAACTGAGTTTGAGAGCTGAGAGATTTCAGCTATCATTTGTGAATTTTTATTTAGATTTACTCTGTATATCTGAATCTTGTTTTTTAAAATAAGATTGCATGGATAACATTCCTTGTAATCTTTTTTTTTTTTTTTTTTTTTTTTTTGCAGTACTGGGGCTTGAACTCAGGGCCTACACCTTGAGCCACTCCACCAGCCCAATTTTTTGTAATAGGGTATTTTTGAGATAGGGTCTCATGAACCATTTGTCTGGGCTGGCTTTGAACCACGATCTTCCTGATCTCTGCCTCCTGAATAGCTAGGATTACATGAGTGAGCCACCAGCACCTGGCTGTAATCTGCTTTTTGACAAAGAATATTTAATTTTTTAAAATAGCTTTTGGTCAGTTAATCACTCGAACCACATCATTTTTCACTGATTAAAAAAATAAAACTACTGGGGTTGGAACCAGTATGTACTCATATATGAAAATGGAAAAATGAGATCTGTTGAATCTATTGCAGGAATTGGGGCAGGAGGGAATAAAGGAAAATGATGGAGAGGGTGAATTCAACTATAATATATTATAAGAACTTTTGTAAATGTTACAATGTACCCCCAGTACAACAATAATATAAATAAATAAATAAATAGCACCTAGTTACACATGGCTTAAGTGTAGAGCACCTACCTACCTTGCAAGCACAAAACCCTAAAGTTCAAACCCCAGTACCTCACACCCCCCTAAAAAAAGAAGAAGGCTACCTGCTATATGATTCCATTTTTAATTGACATTCTGGAAAAGACAAAACAACAGGGACCAGTGATTGCCAGTCATATCTGTGGTTGCCAAAGACTTGAAATGACAGAGAGACTGACTACAGAGACACAGGGAAAGTTTGGGGGCAATAGAAATAGCCTATGTATCATCTGTGATGGTAATTTACATGACCATATATAAAATGTACACCTAAAAAGGGTAAAATTTATTCTGTTTAATTTATACCATAATAAGCCTGGCTTTAAAAAAATAAATAATAAACCTGACTTTAAAAAAATAACAAAAACCTGTACTTTTAAAAGTAATGACAGTGCTTAGCTTAATATTGTTTGTAATTTGAATCACCTAAATTTAATGAGAGTATTAGTTGAGAATGCTTTCTAAATTTTGTATTATATAAAGGCCTGAAAAAATGTATAAAATGAAATCTAGCCAATATGTAAAATTCCTTTTTTTACTTTTATTTCTAATATTCATTGAAATGCTTACCTAATAAATCTTGAAGGGTTACTTAATAAGTGGTTACTTAATAAATCACTAGAGAGGTGTTTCAATGGGTGTTTCAAAATAAAGATAAAGATATGTAGACATTAAGCAAAACTTAATCAAATGTTCTACATCTGGGTTTATAAGTATGGCTTTCTAAAATCATTTTGCACACCATTTTTTTACCATTAAAGTTTTAACTTATCAAAGTGATAATTCAAATACAAATTTTAGAAAATGTAAGCTATTTTTTGTTTTGTTCAGCAATATTAGAATTTTGGTGGAAGTTTTTGCAAGATTAATGTGAATTTAATTTGATTTTTTCATTTAAGTTTTAGATTTTGTTTGATACCATTTGTTTAATTTTTATTATCATACATTAATAGTATACAAATGTCTCATTGTGATAATTCCATGGATGTGTACAGTGTACTTTGAACAAATTCACCTCCTTTAGTATATTCCCTTAGCCCAGCACCTTCCTCTCCCCTTTTTCAAACAGTATTTGGTACATTTCATTTTACTATTTTTAGATACCATTTCAATGATAGTACAAACATACACACTTTAGTAGCTTTTTTATGGACACTCTGAAGTAATATTTAAATAGCAACCTTGCCTGCTGTTTTATTAAAATCTAGACTTGTGACCATTTGACTTTTTAAACTCATGGCATCTTTATCAAAGATAAATTGTGTAATTGGTAGAATTGCTTGGAAAACAATAAGAACTTACGTGAGTCATTTGATTGGCATTGAATACTGTAAGTTTGTTTTATAAAATTAAAGAGAACACTTGTCAAACTACAAAACTGTGCTTTAAGAAATTTTTTTTGGTGGGACTTGGATTTGAACTCAGGGCTTACTTACATGCTTACAAAGCAAGTGCTCTACCATTTGAGCCACAGTCCCAGTCCATTTTGCTCGGGTTATTTTGGAGATGGGGGCTCGCAAACTATGACCAGAGTGACCTTGAACTGTGATCCTCTCCATCTCATCTTCTCAAGTAGCTAGAATTAGAAGAGTGAACCACTTTCGCCTTTCTAAAAAATACTTTGTTTTTTGGCAGTACTGCAGTTTGGATTCAAGGCTTTGCACTTTGCTAGGCAAGTGCTTGAGCCATGCTTCTAGCCCTCAACGTACAAAATTTGTATATATTTCTACATCATAAGAATTTTTATTTATGACTATAGATTTTATTTATGAATGAAATAAAATAGGAAAATATATTTAAAAGGGATTATGTTTGCAGAGGACTTCTTCAATATGTCAGATTTCTTAAATGTACACATGTATTTTAAATGTACATTTAATTAATGTTTAAGAAACCAACCAAAATAATGATAAAATTAAAGTGTTATGCATGTTGTCAGTGGCAAAAAAATCTCTACATGGATATTCCATAAACACTTTACTTAGTATGTTTAAAGTTAAATTAATAACTTCTTTCCCAAGTACTCCTGTGAACCCTATCTCAGCTTAATGACAGGACATGTTACAGCCTTTATAATTAACTGTGTGTGTGGAGAGAAACCAAAGAGTTGGCCATAGTTAAAGATTTTCAGAAAAATCATATGAGCTGGCTACCATTGGCTCACACCTGTAATCCTAGCTACTCAAGAGGATCATGGTTCAAAGCATAATCTATTTGCTCAGGGAAATAATTCGTGAGATCTCATGTCAGAAAAAAAAAAAATCACAAGAAAGGACTAGCTGAGTGGTTCAAGTGGTGAGAATGGTTGCCTAGCAAGTGTGAGGCCCTGAGTTCAAACCTCAATGCTGAAAAACAATTATTTGAAAAAGACAAAAGAAACAGATCAAGATAAAAATAGTTCTTATTCTGTGTCTATCTCTGACTTATTCAGGGATAAATTGTAAATTTCCCTTAAAACTTATTTTTTATAAATTTCCTTTAGTGTGGTTATATCATTTGTAGATTATAAATGAGTCAGAGATAGACTCATACAAAGAGAAAGAGTTACATGATATAATTCTGCCTCGTGTTTTTCTGTGTGGAGGTTTTATTATCATTTTGTAATGTGCTTGATTCTAGCTGCTTCAGAAATACATGGTTCTCTGCTTAGGATGGTCTTTCTCTGAAAGTTACTACATATATACAAACATGTTTTTGCTTTTATGTGGCTTTGTTTTAGGTTTTAAAAAGGCTTTTGGAGGACCAGAATTTCATTATTAAACTTAACTAAATAGTATGCTTTATTTAGCTAGCGTACCTACCCTGTACCAGGCACTGTGGTAGGTACCAGGGATACAAAAATATACACTGTCCCCAGAAGTTTACAGTTTAATGGAAAGGATAGATAAACCCCACAAGCAGCTGTGTAACAGATAATACAGTTTGACAAATACCATAGCAGAAGTGATCACAAGTTGTGATGAAGTTTTGTCATGTAATCGCACTGTGAATTGTGGCTAAATTAGTCTTTTCCTCCCCCCAGAGTCTTTCTTCAGTTCATGTGGTAGTTTAAATAAACTAAGTGAAGAGCCACTGATTCCTCCCCCTCTTCCTCCTCGAAAAAAGTTTGATCATGATGCTTCAAATTCCAAGGTAATCACCAGGACCTAGGTTTGTCTCAACATATTCAAAGTTATGAATCTTCCAAACTGTGCTCATTCTTATAGTCCGTCAGTTATATTTTGGCTACCCTCTATGGTTTTTCAGTATCTAAATTGTTCTGCTTGAAAAATACTTGCAGTAGTTGTTTAATCTTTCCTTAAATGGGGGGCAGGTCACAGATACTCAGAAGTCCATTTTCTTTCTGGTGCAGATGGAAAGAACTTTAATATTAAAAGGATTCTTCAAATTTTCAACCAGTACTTCTCAAATTTAAGGGTACATCAAATCACCTGGATCCGGGACCAGTGGTGCATTTTTATAATCCTAGCTATTTGGAAGACCGAGATTGGAAGGATGGCGGTTCAGGTCCAACCCAGGCAAATAGTTCATGAGAACCCCATCTCCAAAATAACCAGAGCAAAATGGACTGGAGGAGTGGCTCAAGCGGTAGAGCACCTGCTTTAAGCGTGAAGCCCTGAATTCAAACCCCAGTACCACCAAAAAAAAAAAATCACCTAGACAGATTTGTTGAAACCAGATTGTTGAACTCAATCTGAGTTTCTGATTCAGTAGGTCTGAAATGGGGCCCAATAATTTGCTTTTCTAATCAGTTTTCCAGCTGAAGTTGCTGGTCCCTGGTTTACACTTTGAGATCCACTGCTGTAAGTGTCACTGGGGAAAACAGTGACAGTAGATACCTAGTAAGTAAAGCAGGACATTGAATCCCCTTGGCATCATATCCTTTCATGTATACAACACTATGTATTACTTTCACTTACCTATTATAAATAAAATTTATAAATTTCTGAAAAAAGTAACACAAAGCAAGATAACTTGAGGCTTTATGTTTTAAGATTTCAATGAAAACATCTCATATATTCAAGTATTAAACAGCCCTTAATTAAAATTAGAAGTGATTTAATTATAAATCTGATAATTATAATTAAATTAGATTAATTTATTCGAGTCTATAGATTTAGCTTGACACAGAAAAATTTTTCAGTCTTTTGAAATTGTTTTATACGTTTCAGAATATAAGTGTAGTTTAATCTTTTTTTTTTTAGGGAACTATGAAATCAGATGATGACCCTCCTGCAATTCCACCAAGACAGCCTCCACCTCCAAAGGTAAAACCCAGAGTTCCTGTTCCTACTGGTGCGTTTGATGGGCCTCTGCATAGTCCACCTCCACCACCACCAAGAGATCCTCTTCCTGATACCCCTCCACCAGTTCCACTACGGCCTCCAGAACACTTTATAAACTGTCCATTTAATCTTCAACCACCTCCACTGGGACATCTTCACAGAGATCCAGAGTGGTTCAGAGACGTTAGTACGTGTCCAAATTCTCCAAGCACACCTCCTAGCACACCCTCTCCAAGAATACCACGTCGATGCTCTGTGCTCAGTTCTACTCACAACCCTCTTGCTCATCCTGCAGCTCCCCCTGTTCCACCAAGGCAGAATTCAAGCCCTCACCTACCAAAACTGCCACCAAAGACTTACAAACGGGAGCTTTCACACCCCCCATTATATAGACTGCCTTTGCTAGAAAATGCAGAAACGCCTCAATGACCATTGCCATATATAGTCATTGACACTGGAATAGTATTTGTAAAGGTTTTTTTAAATTATTCAAAAAAGGCATAGTATTTTAGTACTTTTTACAAATAATCCTTTACAAAAATGCTACTGATCAAATAAGCTTTTAAGAATTGGAAAAATAAAAATACAGAAGTCCTTCACCATTACCCTCAGGTGATCAGTAGCATTGCCTTGTCTTGGATCCTCAGTGCTGCCAAAAGGCCAGTATAATGAATTGATATTTGCACTGTAGAATGCTAAAATATGGCTTAAAGTGATACTGATTGCACTGAAAAGGGATAGTGCTTTTGTGGAATTTTTCAAATTCAAGTAATAGATGCCTTTTTAAGGCAATGAATTTACACAAATTTAGAGGGTGTATTACGGTGTTACTGGTTTTTAAACCTTTTTGACCATCTTCTAGTTTTTACATCTAGGAGAATTGTGAATAATACCCACTGTTCTTAAACTCTTTAATGCCATGTCTTAAATGCCAGTATTTGCTGCTGAAGACAAAAAGGAAAAATGGAATGGAAATAATAGAATGAACTGTGTTTATTATTTTGTCAAAATGTAAACAAAGATTACATAACCCAATTATAACAGAGAAAAGGGCATGTATCTCACTCAGATGTGCCTTTTGTTTTTGCAGAGATGGTGTTTTTAGCTAATGAGTTGCCTATTGTTTTGGAAAACAAATATGCCATGATGTACAGTTTTGTTTATATTGTATATTTAAAGATAATGCTAATAACCTATATAAATTTAAGTGACTTGAGGACTATTATACAATCTGCTACTTTACTAATTCATAAATTCAAAAGAAAAGTTTCTTATGGCAGAGGAACCAACTTGGCTTGTCTTCAAAATCTAGTAACTTTTTCTCTAAATCTCATGTTAACTGAAATTTTTAAAACAATATTTTTGTTAGATTGGTAATATTTAAACCAGCAAATAGTTAAAGCTTTATTAAACTTTTTAATCTGAGAAGTGAGTAAAACTTTTATTTGCCATTTGGACCGTTTAGTTCAAAGTGATGAAAGTATGTTCACGCTGATAGTGCAGTAGCAGCAGTTGTAAAGTAGCCAAAAGCCACGTTGTTTATTTACTGGTCTGTGGCCTTTTACTGTGCTTTGTATCAGAGTTCTTAACAAGATTAATAAATCACCTCAGTCTTAATTTTTAAAAGGCCTTTAAAATACGTGTGTTCATTTTAAGGAACAAGGGGAGGTAACTGAGTCCTGTAGTACATACAGATACACACCTTATTTTCAGTATTTTATGCAATCCCAACGAATTTAGGTGATAAGGATGTCAGAGGGATAACTCTTTCCGCTGTTAAACGCAAGGGACATCTTTCTAGCAACCATTTTTATGCATTCATGCGAAAAACTAGAACAACGCAAGGAAACTTCCTGACTGTAGCTATGTTTGGTAAGGTCTGGGAAGCTGCTGGGATTTACGGTCAGTAATTGCTGGAAGCTAGTGTCCAACCATGTAAAAACAACCAGGTCTGCTTTGTCTTCTAAAGGGCAGACCTCAACATTGCTTGTACAGAAAAGTGACCCAAGCCGCGCGTTTGTTCGCTAAGCCGTGTCCGTGACGTGGGGAGGCTGAGGGAGGCGGGGCCAGCGCCCGGCCCCGCCCGGCCTGCGTCCCGCCGCCTTCCGGGCTTTGTTAACTCGCGCACGCGCCGTGGACACCAGTGCGCGGCTAGGAGGCGCGGGCCTCTCGCATGCGGGAGGTGCGTGTGTGACGTCAGTGCGTGCTGCTGCTGGCTGTGGTGCCGCCATGGCGGCTACCCTGGAGTGCTCGGTGGAAGATCCGCTGCGGAGCTTTGTGCGAGTTCTGGAGAAGCGAGATGGGACGGTGCTACGACTACAGCAGTATGGCTCCGGCGGCGTGGGTTGCGTTGTTTGGGACGCTGCCATCGTGCTTTCTAAGTACCTGGAAACGCCCGCGTTTTCTGGTGATGGAGCCCACGCTCTGAGCCAACGATCGGTGCTGGAGCTGGGCTCAGGTACCGGGGCCGTGGGGCTCATGGCCGCCACCCTCGGGTAAGAGCTGGGAGAGGGGGCTCCTGTTTACTTGGGAAACTGAGTGCTGGTTCTACCGTGCCTTTGCCTCAGTGGAGGTTATTTTATAGGGCAGATGTTGTGGTCACCGATCTTGAGGAATTGCAAGACTTGCTGAAGATGAATATTAACATGAACAAGCATCTTGTCACTGGTTCTGTTCAAGCCAAGGTACTGAAATGGTTTGTATGGCCTTTCAGCTTGTTTTAAGATAACGACTTGTACTTTGCTTTCAATTGCATTTCACTAAAAGCATGCTTAATAGGAAGGCCTGCTTCTTTATAAAGCAAGAGTATTTCACATTGTTAACGCAACCGTTAAAAATACTTGTTTGACATTTTGAAGGGGGGAAGAAGTAGGCGATTTTCCTTCACCAGACTACATACTGATGGCGGACTGCATATACTATGAAGAGGTAAGTGTTGGGTGAGTGAAGTTTTTCTGGTAAATGAACCATATTTTGTGTATTCTAAAGCACACATTTCTTCACATTTTAACATCTTTAAATTCAGAATGTTTGTCCTACAGTTGCGGTAAAGATAAAAAAATAAAAGTCATTAAGGATTACGTATATACACTCTTTGAAACGTTTTATATGCATTTTACTAGAAACTTCTGTAAACATGTAAAAGGAATCTACCATTTGAATTTGTTATGAAAAGCTGAGATCACCTTTTTTCCTTGGCTGTTCCCAGTGAAATTAATCACATTGAGAATTAAAATGTAAAGAATTCATTGTTCTGTGGCAAGATTTATTAAGCCTGCGGAATGACTCTTCCTTAAGTATCAGTTTATATAGTATTGTGGGCGTTACTTTTAAAATAATAAGCACTGAGTCACCTCACATTTAAATTAGGGTCAGACTTAAATTTGTAGGATAAATTGTTGATTGCTTAATTACTATGTTAAATTAGATTAAACGGAATTTAACTTTTAAGAATGAAGTTGATTCTGGTTTTTTTTTTTTCTCATAGAAATGCCAAAATGCAGGCAGTTACTTGAATCCTTTCTCTTCGAACAAATCAATATAATAGTTGATTAACTGAGATAGTTTGCCAGTCATTAGTTACAGAACTAAGTCATAAACAAAAAGTGTATTTCTTTTTGAATAGTCTTTGGAGCCATTGCTGAAAACTCTAAAAGATCTCAGTGGATCTGAAACTTGTATTATATGTTGTTATGAGCAACGTACAATGGGAAAAAATCCAGAAATTGAGAAAAAATATTTCGAGGTGAGTACTCTATTAGATCTTTCTTTGTAATGATTTCCCTTCAGAGAGGCTGCATGTGACTGTTTTAGTATTTTATGGTAATTAGGGGTATGGAAAACATTCTGTTTTTATAAACCCAAGGAGTTCCCTTCACAATTCATAATTCTACAAAGTCACCCACTACTGTTTTTCTGATCCTTTATTTCTCTTTCTTTTCCAATTAATTGATAGTATCTCTACAGAACAATGTAAAATAATAATTATGACATTCTTTTATGACAACGTTTTTAATGTTTCATCATTAGCACAATGCTGGTTTTTGGAACATACCAATGTGCTAGAATTGAAAAGGTGATACATTTTACTTCTGTGTTTTTCTCTTCCTTTTTATGAAACCTCTGACTTAGACCTATTCTCAGGATTTTTTTTTCTTTTTTTATAAAATGGGTAAAGATTCACAAGAATTGTAAAAGGAATACATAGCATCTTACATATATTTCACCTTTTTAACCCTATTGGTGATCTATACCAATGCTCTTTTATGGGAAAAAATTCATCTCATTATAAGTGATTCCTCTTGAGGGTATGTCTTTGTAGCCCTGAAATTTTGTCTGCTTAAAGGACTACTTTGGGTTAATGAAAAAGAAAGTATATAATTTCCTCAAATAACAGTAAATTTTTCATGTTTTTCTTGAATATAAAGAATGTTAGTAAACTTTTGAAGTTACGTATAAATGAAAATTTTGTATTGTTAAATAGTTTTTATTAAGGTAAAACATAAAATACACATATATCAAGTGCCCAGCTTAATCTTTCATGTGTTTCCATCTAGCTAGCTACTACCCAATATACAGAACATTTTTAAGACCTCAGAAAGCTTCTCACATTGCCCCTTTACCAGTCAGTACTCCTCCAGAAGTAACAACCATTTTGAATTCTGTCACCAAGGTCAATTCATATTACTGAGTATGAAATGTGTGTCATAAACTTACAGCTCCTTCAACTAGACTTTGACTTTGAAAAAATTCCTTTGGAAAAACATGATGAAGAATATCGAAGTGAAGATATTCACATTATATACATCAGAAAGAAAAAATCAGTAAGTACATTTCCAGTTCTTCATCTTCTGAGATTTCACCAACTGGTCAGTGTCTGTGGGGTTAGGTATGCTCAAGGCCTTAATCTTGATGCAGTAAAACAGCTATGATGGTTCACTGGACCTCAGGCCCTGTCTTAGTATTAAGATCATTTAATCTATCTTGCCTTGAGTTCTTGTTTTAAAATAAGGCAGAAGGCTGGAGGTGTGGCTCAAATGGTAAAGTGCCTGCCTAGTAAATGCAAGACCATGAGTTTAAACCCCAGTACCAGCAAAAAAGATAAAATAAGGCAGAGCCAGACATGGTGGTGCATACCTGTAATCCCTATTATCCCTGCTGAGGCAGGAAGGTGGTGAGTTGGAGGCCAGCCTGTACTACATAGCAAGGCACTATCTCCAAAAACAAAGAGCCCCCATCATGTGAACAGATCTGGTGCAGACAGCCCTTCCTCCTGGGAAATGAGATTCCATTTCACAACATGGAAGTTGGTGCTAAGCTGTTGGTGGATGATCTGCTTCTGTGTCAAGGCTTCCCACAGAGCATAACAGCTCCTCACTGCAATCTATTAGAAGTCATCCCTGGACACAGGCTTGTAAAAAATAAAATTAAATTAAAAAAATAAAAGTAAATAAATAAATACGGCAGGCCTTTTTTTGTTTTTGTGATGCCAGGTATGGAAACCAGAGCCTTGCACACGGTAGACTTCACTGAGCTAAACCTAAAGCCTGGTAGGCTTTTTTTTTGAACAGCACTGGGGTTTAATCTCAAAGTCTCACACTTGCTAGGAAGGCGCTGTACCACTTGAGCCATTCCACTAGCTCTTTTGTATGTGTTGGGTACTTTTGAGATGGGGGTCTTGCTTTTTGCCCAGGCTGGCCTTGAGCTGCGATCCTCCTGAGTAGTTAGGATGACAGGCATAAACCAGTAGCACCCAGCCTCTGGTAGTCTTTTTTTTTTTTTTTTTTTTAAGTTCTTACCATCTATAAATTATATAGCTTTGTGATTACACATGTTGGCACTTAACGGTAGCATGATAACTGAGATACTCAACTAAAAAGTGGAAGTTTGTTTTGGCTTACAGTCTCAGCCCATGATTGGTTGGCCTTGTTATTTTGGGGCCTATACCAAGCAGTAGATCATGGGGTCATGGCAGGTGCATGTGGCAGAGGAAACCTGCTACATGCAGGTTTCACTGAGAAGGTAGTGGGGAGGGTTGGGGGATTGAGTACTACTGTCATCCTCAGAGGGAGGGAAGGAGGAACGTGCAGGGTACCACTGTCATCCTCAAGGGCACGCCCCTAGTTCAAACCCTAATATCACCAAAAAAACCCAAAAATTCCCTGATGACTGGACATCCTACCAACTAAGCTTCACCTCTTAAAATTTTCACCGCCTCCCAAAGCACCTTGTGCCAGGGAAAACCTTAAACACATGGGCCTTTGGGAAACAGGCAGATGTGCCCATAAAAGAAAATCGCCCTCAATTAAATAAAGTTTATGCATGACCTCCTCTTTTGGTACCTCTGTTTCCTAGCATAAGTCACATTTTATGCAAGTTGCATCTGGGACACCTCAAATTTGAACCTATAGAAGGGAAGAATTTTATCTCATCCATTTTGTATCCTCAGCATCTTTTGTAAATGTGCCTGATATAAGGCAGAGACGTTGTGACTTTTTTTGAATTAATGATGCTAAAATTTAGTAACCTCCCCCCCCACTCACACACTTGTTTCTACTATCTTTGCTTTTCATGAAGTCTTCTAATTATGTGAGTTCTAGCCGAAAGCAAATATAGCATGGTTTTAGGGAACAAGAGTAGGTGTTAATTCTCAACCATGAATAGAAGGTGTTAGAGCTAATCCTCAGGAAAGAAAACCATGAATCTCTTGTTTCTGTGTATTTGGCTATTGTGCACATCATATAAATGTAATCACATATTATGTGGCCTCTTGTGTGTAGCTTCTTTCACCCAGCATAGTATTTTCAAGGTTCAAGCATGCCTCAACATTTTACTTCTTAGTCTTACTAATTTTCCTTTGTGTGCTCATACACATTTTATCCATTCATTCATCAGTGGCAGCACTTCACTTGCTTTCTTTTGTCTATAATGAATAATGCTGCTGTGAACGTTCACATAGAAGTTTTTGTGTGAGCATATTTTTTCAAATCTTTTGGGTATATACCTAGAGTGGTATTGTAGGTTTTGGGGGACTCTGTTTAACTTTTTGAGGAATTGCCAAACTATTCCAAAGCTACCGTTACCATTTTATATTCCCACCAATAGTTCATGAGGGTTTCATTTTCTCCGCATCCTTGCTAACACTTGTCATTGTTTATTATTTTGGCTATAACCATCTTAGTAGGTGTGAAATAGAATCTCATTGCTTTTATTTTCATTTCCTGAATGACTAATGATGTTGAGTATCTTTTCATGCCTGTGGAGAAGGACTTTGCCTGTTTTCAAATTAAGTTGTCTTTTTACTATCCTAAGAGTTCTTTATATGTACTAGGTACCAGATGCATGATTTGCAAATTCTTCCTCCAGCTCTCTGGGTTTTGTTTTGTTTTCTTTTCTTTTCTATTTTGTAGTGAAACCTTAGCGGTACAAAGGTTTCTACTTTTAAAAGTAAAACTTTTTTAGCTTTTTTATTAATGTATATTAATTGTACAGGAGTTTCGTTGTGATATTTTCTTACATGCATATAATGTACTTAGGTAATTTTCACCTGCCTCTATTACTGTCTTACCCCTCCCCCCAAAAGGCTTTTTTAATTTTGATAATGCTCAGTGCATTTTTTTCATGGTTGCTTGTGCTTTAGGTATGAGCTACAAACCATCTCTAAACATTTACACATGGTTATTCACTTGAATTGCACTTAACCACTACTGCCTATATTACCTAGTATTAAGTACCCAGTAAATACTTGGTGATGGGAAATCAGTGTCTCAAGATTCCTTTATTTTTTTAATAGAAATTGCCATCGTGAAACTTTAGCCATCCGACCCACGCCTCTGACAAGCTTGGTGAACTAGAGGTACGAAAGGAATGGAGCATGTGAATACAGCATGGGAAGATTGTGTGTACGGACTTCTCAGCATGTCCTTAGAGATCTGATACATGGGTGACAACCAGCATGGGTTGCCTGACAGTGGCCCTGAAACCCAACTTAGGTTTACAGAGCTCAGCACCAAGTTCTGCTTAAAAGAGACCTTGGGCATCAGCCACTCAAATAAAAATAGTTGTTAAGGTTAGCCTAAAGTCTGCCAGAAATAAATAATAAAGCAGCATGATTCACTGGGCATATTTTCAGGAAATTAGAAATCTAGTTTGTAATGATATGTATCTATTACTATATAATGTTTCAAATTCCCAGCTAGTAAATTTTAGTTTATCCTCAAGAAATTTCACTCTTATATAATTGTGTAGTAGTTTTATCTTTTGTTTCATGTATCTTTAATACTTAAATATTTTCACTTTTAAAAAAACTTGAGAATGATATCTTGTATACGGATATTAGCCAGAGGCATGTGAATGATTTCAACAGTGAATGATACTGTTGTGAATTACTAAGAAGACAAACCAAGAGATTGGGAGAACAAAAGGTATCTTCACAAAACTAACTACTCATTTGGGAAGAAATAAGAATAGAAAGCCCAGTTTCAGGTTTATGCATATATGTGTCTTGTGCAATTTTCCTCTTATATATCTTCCAGGAAAATCTAGTTTTTAAAACACTGGTATTAAGTTACCTTGTTTACATGAAACAGATGTTTGAGTACCTACAAATGTAGTTCTGTATACATTCATCAAACTGTTTTTACTGTGATTTCTCCATTTTTTGTTATGATAATCATCTGTTCACATAGACTAATCGGTGAAGGACTTTAATCACACCAGTTCCAAAGAGTAGTAACCACACAGAAACTGGTATTTATAGGCATTGGTGCTAGATGCACATTTTATGTGTTAAAATAAACATCGTTTTTGAAACTCTGTGACTTTGTGAATGTCTCAGAAATCGTTTTAAAGAAAGTGAACATCTAAAGTCGGTAACTGGTTTCTAGAAAAAGCAAAGGCAACCCAGATAAGAGACTTTGAAGATCAAAGTCAAAAGAAATTTCTTCACTTTCAGTTTGCTTTGCTGTTCTTTTTCAAAACACTTTATTTATATTGCCCTTAGCATCTTATTAAGCAGTTTGGCCTGGGCATTTATTGTAACATAAGTGTATGATGGTTTGGTAGTTGCCACTATTAGTGAGATAGTAGGACAAATGATCACTTTCTAGCTCTAAATTTGACATTGACTTTAGTAAAGTACCAAGATTCCTCACATCCCTTTTCACCCTCCTTCGATTTTTATGCCCTCCTCTTCCTTTCACTCAACTTTTAACATATACTGCCCAGGGTTTTTTTTTTTTTTTTTTTTTTTTTTTTTTTTACCTAAAGTGTCCCAAGATTTACTGTATTAAAAACCCAGCTCCTTTACCCAGGACAGGTGCAACTTAACAGTCCAAAATTTTCTGGAGGAATCAGGCTGAGGTCACGCCCTTACTTGCCTTCCCTCCCTGTTTCTTGGTCCCACCTCTATATTAAGTCACTGCTTCTGAGGAACTGACTTAAGTACTGATCGAAGAGGTAATTTGTAAAAAAAAAAATCTAGTGGGATTTTTTCCCCCTCTCTATTTTGGAATAAGACCAACACTGAAATTGCAAGGTGCCATATCCCACATTCTGAAATCAGAACCCCTGGTGGTTCACATTATTGAACGCTGCAGGGCTTAGCTAAGGGGTGCCAGTTCAGACAACAAGTAACTCACCAACTACCATTCCACACAGCCAGGGAAGCCTGGGAGGACTCCTCATTTGGAGGAGTGCAGTGATGGGAATGAGATTTAGTCCTGTGGACTCTCCCTATTGGAATGAACAGTGCATCTGCTAGGAACTACAGGAAGGAGAGCTGAGGGAATAGGATTAACTCAAGATCCAAGATGCTTGTTAACCAGCATTTTCCCCTCTGGTTGGATTTGTGTTTATCCAGCAGATTAACTTCCGTTATATTATCCCAGATCCTGGAGATAAAATTGGAGAGGTGTTATGGGCACTGTGAGGAAAAGGGATAGATGGATCTGCCAGCCTGAAAATTGAGGAATGGGTTGGGAGCTAAAAGACTTCTGTGACATGGGGGATGAAAAGGCAGGTACAAGAAGACTAATGAGATGTAATGGGCTAGCTGAGGATCAGCCAGAATATAGCTATGGCCTGATCTCAAGGCAATGTCAATGTCTGGAGAACTGCTGAAGAGTGACCAGGGTCCTCTGAGTGAGTGGGGGAGACTTACACACAAGGGGAACCATAAAGTAGTATCAGAATGCAGTTGTAGTCAACTAGGAAAAGGGTGGCAACCCTATAATAAGGCATTGTCTGTCAAACCCAGGCTGCATGTGAGGTCACTTAGAAAATTGAAAGCAAGCAAAAGTCATACTCAAGCCCATCCCATTCCCATTAAATCAGGTATGGCATTTGTTATTAAAGGACTACAGATGGTTTTAATGTTTTGCCTAAGTTGAGGACCATTGCAGTAAGGAAATCTTTTAGCATCTCCTTCCCAAGGGGAAAGAAAGTATATGGAAAACAAAATCTGTTCTGCATATGGAGGAAAAACAGTCTGACATGGAGTCCTCTGTAAGATAGGTTTTAAAATACATAGAACTGAGCTATGCTGAAATAGACTACTAAAATACTTGAAAATGCAGAGAATCTGGTCAAGAAGGTACAGGTGATGCTACTCAAGATGAAAGGAGGATTCACAGGAAAATTGTTAAGAGGGTTCATCTCAGTGACTTGAGTCTCTTCTGTATGCTAGTTATAAGTAAAGATCTATGAGGCTGCCTAGCTGCATCTTCATCTCCTTCAGTCCATAACCAAGGGTCTGTGTGAATCACATGTTTGATGAATTTGGCTCTAAAGTTAGGTTTAATTGTAAGAAGTATAAATCCAGAATGTTAGTGGGATTTTTTTATACCACATACCTTTTCCGTTTTTTTACTTTTCCTTTTTAAATTTTCTGTGTTAAATATGATAACTCAAATTTTAAATAATTTTAAAGAGCAGGACATAGACGACTGTTGTTCTGCTCGTTCCCTGTAGGTGGCATTACTTGACTTTGCCTTTGAACATAACAAAAAAGTTGTAAAAAGAATCTATTTTGAATTGCAATCACCCTTGGATTTTAAAGATAAACTAAATTTGATTTTTAAAAAAGGCTACCTATTGTAAGTTCCTTGCAGAAGATAACATGATGTAAGTAAAACTGGATCCTTATAAAATTGCATTTGGTTTATCTGTCTACCCATTTCATTCTGATACACCTTTTGAATATTTATAAAACTACAGAAATTCAGTTCATAAAATATTTTATCTGCTATTGGGATTTGAGAGGGAGACAGACATTTAAGAGGCTAATTAGTTCAATTGAAGTACTAATACTTAAATTCACCTTGAAAGTGTCTTTTACACAAAGCATGATTTTTACATCTGAAGTACTTGAAGCTTCTAATTAATTTTAATTAGTTTTTCAAACCAGTGTTCCTCATTAGAGTAGTAGCTGTTGCATCAAAAGATAAGTCCTGTCTGTCTGGTTATCCCAGAATCCTATAATCTTAGAGCAGTTGTTTGGCATTTTCTCCTCTTAAGAAACATTGGGATTTCAGTTTTGATTCTTTGATAGAAACATTGTAAAGGAATTTTAAGTTTTCCAGAGAGACCTAATACAAAAAGAAAATTGTGGCAATATGAAAAGTAATGGGAAAGCTAAGTTCTTGTTTTTCATAATTTTGGATAAGAAAACAGTAAATTCTCTGTAATTAAAACTGCTGGGGCTTTGGGGGTCATTTGAGACCTTGTCTTAAGATCTTATGGGTTAGTGGAGTTCTGTAAATATTTCCTGAATCCTCATTAATTGTGAGATACATTCTAAGTAATTTACGTATTTATTTTTTCGGTACTAGGTTTTGAACTCAGGGCCTTGTGCTTACTAAGCAAGTGCTCTACCACTTGAGCCATGCCCCTACTCTGTTTTTGCTTTAGTTATTTTTCAGACAGGGTCTCAGCCTTCTTGGCTTTTTGCATGGGGTCAGCCTCAAACCATAATCATCCTACCTATGCTTCCCACATAGCTGGGACCACAGGCCCAGGTGGTTTGTTGAGATGGGGTTTTGCTTTTTGCCCTCAACCTGCAATCCTTCCAGTTTCTACCTCCTGAGTAGATGGGATTACAGGCATGTACCAGCCACCTGGCCCAGTAATTTACTACTAATTACAAGATACAATAGATTGCAAATAATAGATAAAAATATGCTAGTGCGAGTTATCTATATGATAATGTTTTTCATTTTCATTCTGAAAGCAGTGCATCACAGTAGAGGCCCTGGGATGATATCTGGATTTAAATCCCAGTTCTGCTATTTAGTAACTGTGTGACATTGGGAAAGTTACTTAAACTTTCTATTCCTCATTTTCCTTACACGTAATTGAGGCTCTTCATGGTATCTGCCTCATAGGTTGCTGTGCCAATTGAATTAGCTTAATATATACAGTGTACCTAGGTACTTGGCACATAGTAATTGTTCACTAAATGTGATTAGAGCAGGGGTGCAGTCGCAGTTGGGGACTTGGAAAATATGCATAGTGCAGTTGATTTGCACATAGAGTGCATCCACTCCCATGACAGCAGAGATGGGAAAAGGCTGAGAACACTGTTCCACAGTACTATTATTTGAACAGGTAACAATTTTAAAAGGGAGATGTGGTGGGAGAAAAATCGTTGTTTTTTATGTTTACAGTTTTTTATGTTTATTTTTGGCAGTAGTGGGGTTTGAACTCACGGCCCCACGCCTGCTGACTGTTACGATTTTAAAGCAAGTGCCATGAGCATTCAAAGGCCAGTAAGATCAGAGGAAATCCTCATTTCTGAATATGGGAGTGGGGGGGGTCTACTGACTGGAGCTTCAAGGTTACATTCCATTGCCCTGAAGGCTTACAAGTTTCTTTCTGTGGCTCTTATTTCTGTAAAACCTGAGAGCAATTAGGGAGCAGATAATTAAAGCACAGCAGAAGGTCATTTTTCTGCAGTCTGCGGTTTGGTCTATGTGCAAAGAGCTTAGATGTATTAACTCTAAAAGTTTTGCAGCAGTTGCTTCATGGATAAATGATCTTTACTGGGTAGTAGTGTATATGGTGGGATGCAGCCTCTTAGCTAATCCCTCAAATTTTCTGACTTTGTCTTTATCAGCACCTCCATCAGTTAGTGTCAAGTGACACATATGCCTTACTGCCTCATATTGAACTTCCAAGGCCTTTTATCCATTGATGAAAAGATTGTTGAATACTAAGTAACTCTTAATTTTTAGAAACCTTTATTATCTGTAATATATTTACTTTTTTGATAGTTCACATTTTTTAATGTTCACAAAGTTGAAAACTTTGAATTTCTTCTCTGCAAAGCAAAATTAAGACTTCTGAAAAAGAGCTGGCCTACATGGAGCTCTTGTAGGCATTAATGTTTGAGTAGTTAGCATATTTCTTTCAGGTTATTAGCTCCGATGAAGTACCATTGGCAGTCTCTTAAACTCTTGACGGGGCAGTGTGTTTAGACACTCATTAGTAATTTTTATAAAGTTCATGTTGTTCTCCTGATGTCCAGGCATTAACACTATGAGTTCTGGGTCCATGTGTTGTCTTATCATTGCTTTGGCAAATCATTACCAGAGTGGGATGTACAGTACAAACAAGCCTGTGTATCTACATTCAACACGAGACTTGCTCTTTGAAAGAATGCGTTCTAAAAACCCTCTATACTTCAAGTACTGAAAAGCTGGATGGTAAAGTGCTGTAAATATAAATAACATGATTTACAAAGCTTCAATTGGAGAAGCTTTACACTTACATTTAGAATGCATGTAAAGAACAATCTTATTTATAATTGACATAGATATAGGACTGGTTTCTTGAAGCTTAAAAATAGGAAAAACAAGTTTAACACTCTCACAAATAATGAATGTTTAACCAGAGAATATCTTTGGATTTCAGTGACGTTTATGGATA